GGGGAAGGGGGCGCCCTGCCCACCGGCCCCGGCCCTGGGCAGCCCCCTCCGCTCCGCCGGTGCGCGGCTCGGGGTCCGCGCCCTCCCGCGTGGACTCTGCCCCGGTCACTGATGGCCGGGGCATCGGGGTCCCTGCCGGGGATCCCTTCAGAGTGCACGGGTGGCATCAGAGCCAGGGAAGGCCCAGGACGGCGGGACGTTGTTAGGACCCCGGAAAAGTGAGGCGCAGTTCCCGTCTCTTTGGTTAAGCTCGGACGGAAGAATCGGTGGGGTATTTAATGTGTGTCTTTTACTTCTGAAAGTGGCCCGTTAGTTCTACAAATTAGCCTTCATTAGGCCCGTGGGCAGGGCTGTGCCTGCCCCCCTGCCAGCCTTTCCTCCCTTGCTTCGCCTGTGTGTGGCTGGGCCCCAGGTACAGGTAGTGACGGTTCAGTTTTTAGTTTTATGGGGGTGTACTGACTAAGCCGACTCGGAGCCTAGCCTTCCTCGAAGTGTGTGCGCGCGCGTGTGTGCGCGTGTGCGTGCTTTGAGCATACTCGGATCAATGAGCACACAAGCCTTTCCACCATTCCGGCCCCTGGGCCTCTTGGTGGGTGACATCTTTCCCTTGTGTTCTCATCACTGGGGCCTTGGGCACCACCTTCCTGTGAACTGGAACTTTAGAACTAACTGGGGGAGAGAAGGGATATTAGCCTGAAACATTTTTTCATAAGAACTATTCCTTGCAAGAACAGTTCCTGTCAAAAGTTCCGAAGAATCAAGTAGGCCTTTTTCATTGACACGATTTTGGGTGACCCAGTTTTGCTTCCCCAAGTAGTGATTCTCGAAGCAGATGGCTCCTCTGCCCAGGGAAGTGTGAGGCCGGAGCACACTTGCTCTTCAGCCTCCAGAGCTCTGAGTTTTGCAAGTGAATTTCATAACCCAACCCAGATAATGTCTCAGTCGAGCTGCTGCCAACTGTCGAATGAATGACTTCCTAGTGAAGAAAAAGTTCAGTCTCTTTATGTAATCCTGGCTTCTTTTCCTCCATATATTTGGCTTTGCTTTATTCGAAAGCGGCAGGACCTTGGGGCTGGAAGAGTCTAGGGTAGACCCACCACGTTGTTGAAGGGAGGGCCGGGCACCCTTGGGCTCTGGGCTTGCCGGTGACCACAGCCCAGGGAGAATCCCAGGTCTCCAGCCCTTAGACTGGTGCTCTGTGCAGCAGCTTCAGGGCCTGGTGTTGAGGGGAGGAAGGGCCTTCCAAACACTGCTGCGTGTGTCACCTGCAGTGACGGGGTCTGGGTCTGCCAGGCCTTTCTGTCCTCTGTGGTGCTGGGGAGGTAGGACTCTGCTGCCCTTCTGAATCAGGGTCAGGACCCTCCGGCGTGGGCAGTGCTGACTTCCTGTGGGAAAAGCCTGAGCCAGTGGGGGTGGGGGGGTGGGGCTCTTTGGCTTTGATAGTCACCCACAACATTTGAAACAAAGCTGCCTACAGGAAGAGGTAAATGAGAAAGTTCTGATCTCCACACAGTGGGGGGCTGTCACGGAGGTCACCATCAGCTAACATGATGTCCACTTTGTCTAATCTTGTCTTCAGAAAACAGAAGCAAAAGGAAAGTGACAGGGTGTCCCATAGAGTCTGGACTGCTGAGGCTGAGACCTAAAAAGCTTTGTCTCTGCCTACGATGACAAGAACACCAGCCTTTAGTGGGCAGGCCTTGTTGCACCTTCTCTTGGCCCTTCCTGACTCCCAGAGCCCAGGGAGGTTGCTGGGACCTACACTCTCCTTGTCTGGTTACCGGGCACCTCCCTCCCGCCTTTCCTTTGTGCGGCAGCCAGCCCGTAGGGAAGTGTGCTGCCTGGTGTCCGCTGGCAGGCTCCTCTGAGCTGCATCTCCACCCCTGGCATCAGGCTCCTGCCCTTGGTAGCCAGGGATAGTATCCTCTTGCTCCCTGGAAGCCAGGCTCTGGAGAAAGTGCTGAGGCTGCTGTGCGCAGAGCTGGGCATTCACAGGCCATTAGAGGCCAGGTTGGAAGGAGCCAGAAACTTATAACTGGGCAATCTGCTCACTGCCTGCTGGACAGATTGTGGAGTGTCATCTCTGATCACACACACCGGTAACCAGAGACTTTAGCGTTTAATAGGTTCTGTCTGATGGCTATCTCCAGGGTGACAGAAAAGCCTCTGGTACTTTCACCTGTCCTTGGGGCGCAGAGTTAGTCCCATCCCAGTAGCTAGAGCTGGCTTGGGGGTTTGCCGAGGCAAGGCCCCCAGACCCCTCATGCAGCATTAGTGTTCTGCTTGTGCTTAACATCATGTGCCTGGCACGCTGGTGCAGGCAGGTTCTGGTGACAGTGTGGGCTCCCTGAGCAGTTCCCTCTCATGTCTGTGCTCTGTCACTCCTTCCAAGGGGCTTCCTGCCCTGTGCCATAGAGGTGGGAAGCTGACTCCCTCGCTGCTTGCTGGTCTTTTTGTGTTTAGTTAGGTTTGGTTTTTTGAGACAGGGTCTCACTCTGTAGCCCAGACTGGCCTCTAACTTGCAGCAGTCCTCCTGCTTCAGTCTGAGTCCCGGGATTACAGGTGTGCACCACCATGTCCAGCATCTGCTTACTGGTCTTAACAGGATCTTGAAAAAATGGTGTGCCCTTCTGTGGAGTAAGGCAGGGCCATAAGGGAGGCTGTAAGTTACTGGCCCCCCAGAAGATGGACGGAAGATAACCCCTGACTCTCAGCCAGGGGCCTGGGTCACTTACCACACTCGAATATTTAGTAAGCCAGGTGGGTGGTCCTGTATCGCATGGCTCTTGGCATGGGCAGAGTGGAAACCTTCAGGGCAGCACTGGAAGGGACACTTGCTGGGGTTCTCGAGTTGTGACTGGCTCCCCCTCCAGCCCCAGCTCTGCCTGGTGCAGGAGTAGTCATGGTCTCATTTCCTGGGGTGTGTGGGCCTGTGGGCCCTGGAATGGGGCAGCCCTGGCGTGAGACGATCAGGAGGTCTGACCTCCCTTCTCAGAGTCCTTGCTCTCCTTTTTGAATACCTAGAGAAGGCTGGGGTCTCCATGCGGGTGGAGCTGCGGCGGGTGGCTGTGCTCTCTTCGGGTCAGGTCAGGGACAGCTGCATTTCCAGCCCCTGCCAGCCTCCCGTGACAGACCCTTCCTGGGCCTGGGTGCTGTCTTCAGGCTGGTGAGGCTGAGGAGGAGGCTGACCCCTCCCCACAGCTGTCTGCCTGCTCCCACTGCCTGCTCTCCTGTCCTGCCCCTGGAACAAGGGCTGGGGTCACAGGCTTTCTGTGTTCAGTGTTCATGGCCAGCCTGGGCTGTTGCCTTGCACCTGTGGGCACGCATGAGACGTGCCTAGTCCAGTGCTCACAACTGCAGTTCTGTGCTTCCCCCCAAAGCAAATCACTGTGTGGGTCTTCTGCCTGCTGGCCTGCCCCTCCTTCCATGGGTGTCTATGCCTCTGTAATCCTCTTGACCCAGACGTCCAATTAAGAGCAGCCGACTCATCAGGAGGTTTTTAACCACGGCCTCGATCTCGAAGGCTGTTCCTGGCAAATGAGCTGCTTGGTGCTGGTTGTGGGCTCAGGGAGGGTCTGACTCTAGCCTTGGACTGCGGGTGCTCACCTGTAGGCACAGCCTATGTAATCATGCTGGCGAGCTGCCTGCTGCTGTCAGGGGAGGCAAGTCAGAACACCTCTGGTGTCTGTGTCTCCTGCCTTGGGGGTCCACACCCGGGCGGCCCCACGCCTGCCTAGCCTGGGGGAGTGGCTCCTTCCTGGCACCTGCTTTTCCCCAGCTGCAGACCAGGTGAAGCGTGGTGTCGCTAGCAGGGCTATTCAGGTCTTCCCTGGAGTGGGGCTGATCAGGAGCCACCCTGATAATGTCAGTTATCTCTTCCCCAACCTGGTGATTACACTGTCACTTGGCATTTGGAGAGTACTAGAGTCGTGAGGCAGAAACTAGGCAGTGTGTGGTGCCAGCTCTCCCTAGACCTGCTAGGTCACTGTGTGTGTGTGTGTGTGTGTGTGTGTGTGTGTGTGTGTATTTCCCATGGGGCCCTAAAACTCAGCCAGGGATGTCTGGGGCCTTGCCTTTTTTCTTTTCTCTTCTTCCTGTCTCCTGTCTCAGCCTCACAAGTGCTAGAACCGGTGTGTACCACTGTGCCTGGTTTTTTTTTTTTGTCTCTTTGAGACAAGGTCTCACTATGTAGTTCAGGCTGGCCTTGAACTCACTTTGTAGCCTAGGCTGATCTCGAACTCACAACGATCCTCCTGCCTCAGCCTCCCAAGTGCATTACAGGCATGTGCCAGCACGCTTGGCTTTTTCTGGTTATTTTGTAAGGCAAGTCTTTTTCCTTCCCTTTCTCCTCTGCTTGTAGGTTTTCTTTTTTTTTTTTTTGTACTGAGAATCGAACTCAGGATCTTGCCCTTGCCAGGCAGGCATTGTGTCACTGAGCTATATGCCCGGCCGCTTACAGGTTTTTTGACTGCAAATTGCAGCATATCTTTTTTTTCTTTTTTTGCAAATTATAGCATATCTTGGCAGCCATTCATTGAGCTGTCTCACTTTGTACAGGGTAGCAGTTCAGCCAGTTCACCCCCAGCCACAGAGCTCCTCTCTGGTCACTGTCGGGACAGTTAGAACACAGGCACTAAGTCTTTACTGTGCTCCTCCCATGCCCACCTGGCCGATCCTGTGGCTGTGTGTCTGTCCCTGACTTCTGAGTAAGTGTGTGGATTTTGACATAGGGCTCAGGCTCGGTCAGTGTGATAGGAATGGGCACAGGGAGCCCTTCTGCAACGCTAGCCAAGCCAGGGCACCCTCTGTGGGCCGAGTGGGCCGAGGGCCCAGGTGCCACCAGGTGCACAGCAGCTGTGGGGCGACTTGTGAAGATGCTGAAGGTTGAGGAAGCCTCTTCTGTGCTCCTCCTCCTACTTCAGCAACGGTCGCAGTCAGCCTAGGAGGGCCGCCTGACCCACATTCACTCGGCTGCCCTGGGACAGGCAGACTCTGCCCTTTAGACTCTCCCTGACGTGTCTGTCCTGGGGGCAGGTCCCTGATCTTTCTCCCAAGGGCCTGCCATGTTATCATTGGATTTCTTTCACCCTGTAGTTGAGCTCTGAAGGGCATAAGGGAGAAGTACGTGGCATACACCAGCATGACACTTGACCTGGCTCCTGCAGGACGCACTGGCTTCCTAATCAGCCCATCACAGATGGCCTGACTCATAGCCACAGAAGGAAGCCAGGAGGGTGATTTCCCCCCCCATATCATGCAGTGATTTTACACACTTGCAGTTCATTGGTGTTCACAAGTTATCCTCATGATGCTTGGGACAGTCAAGGGTAACTAGAAATGTAAACAAGTGTCCCGCTGAGCCTGCAGCCCCAGGCTCAGGCCCCTTGTTCTGCCTGGAGGCAGAACATAGTGGTGGGGCATGGGGCGGGTCTCGCTTTAGTCAGCACTGTGGGGCCGTGGGGTGCATGTGGTGGGCAGGGCCGTGTAGGTCAGCCCCGTTTGTCCCCTCTCGTGAAGCCCTGTGCCCTCTGGGCTTGTTTGCCCACTTCTAACATGATGAGCTGGACACCTGACAACGGCAGAGGCATTTTGGTGCTACAGTTGGGGGCAGGGGAGCTGCTAATGTCATCTCGTGGGTGGAGGTTAGCAGTGCTGTGCTGCTTAGCCCCGAATGTCGATGCGAGGTGGCATGGCTGAAGAGTGCATTCCTGTGATTCCTACTTGTTAATGCACTTGACTGAGCGTGGAAGGGTGTGTCTCGTGGCAGGTCCATCTTTGAAGGTGGTAGCTGCTGACTGATGGTGCTGTGCAGGGGCGGGGGGAAACAGTGTCACAGTGTTGCAGACATCACCCTGTGGGGTTAGTGCCGGGCCCACCCAGTACCGACTATCCATGGGCCTGAGCTTGGATTGTCATGTGTGTCCACACTTACAGGGAATGCCTGGGAACAGGTGCTGGCGTACCCAGGTCCTCCTGGGAAGGTGCTGGGCTGGCGAGCACTCATGTAGTTACCTGGGTGCTGTACCCACAGGGGTGTGTGGCTGTGAGCTGGGGCTCTAGCCTGCGGCCCCTCACCCCTGGTCTCTGGCCCTGCAGTTCCTGCGCGTCACGAAGCAGTACCTCCCGCACGTGGCTCGCCTCTGCCTGATCAGCACCTTCCTGGAGGACGGCATCCGCATGTGGTTCCAGTGGGGCGAGCAGCGAGACTACATTGACACCACCTGGAGCTGTGGCTACCTGCTGGCCTCGTCCTTCGTGTTCCTCAACCTGCTGGGACAGCTGAGTAAGTGGCGCAAAGCCTCACCATCCTCCCTCAAGGCCTCCCATCCCTGCACGACCTGCACGCAGCCCAGAGCGAGCAAGGCTATTGGTGATCCGGAGGTTCCGCAGCCGGGTGGCCATGCTGGCCAGGGTTTGTCTGTGAGCACTTAGTCGGTGCTTGGTACTCAGTCCAGGCTCCCTGCTTTGGTGCTTCTGAAGGAATCAAGCACAGTCCCTGTTGTGAGTGCCCCAAGCAGGGGATTCTAGAGAAAGGGTGGCTATAGCAGGCAAAGGAGGGATCCAGAGGCTAAAGAGGGCTTGGCTCAATGCAGAAGGCTATCAGGGCCTCTGGGCTTGTGCTCTTGGCTGCCCCCCATCTGCTGGCAGCCTCCCTCCTTTGCACGCTTCTGAGTTAGAAAGGTGTGTGCTTGCCAGCCTGCTCTGAGCTGCTGTGGGAGAGCAGAGCAGATACGTACCTCTGTGTGGCCGGCGCTGGTACATCGGGACAGCAAGGCATCGCGCTCTAGACTGAGGCTGTCCCTGTGCCGGTGTCTTTCTTGCTGTGGGTAGGCCTCGCCTGTCAGTAACTCTCCTAGAAGTCGCTGTTGGCTTGGGAGGTAGATCAGCCATGGCTGGGCCAGAGAACCAGATGAGGTGCAGTATACCATGCTGTGTCCCCAACCCTTGCTGTTCTTTCCAGCTGGCTGTGTCCTGGTGTTGAGCAGGAACTTTGTGCAATATGCCTGCTTCGGGCTTTTCGGAATCATAGCGCTGCAGGTATGTGGGGCGTGGGGCGGGTCTCGCTTTAGTCAGCACTGTGGGGCCGTGGGGTGCATGGCCAGGACTCTTGCTCCGGTAGAGATGAGTGTTGGGCTCAGTGTTCTCCCTTCAGCCCTGGGTGTCCGGCTGCCTATAGCCGCTTTTGTCTTCAGGGAAATGCTAAGGTGTCCTCCTCATACAGGCAGGAGCAGCTGCCCAAGTCGGCTGTACAGGCTGGTGCCCAAGCAGGAGCCAGCACAGGGCACTGGGTGCTCTTTCATTCCTTTCAGTACATGCCCTGTGATGGGTATGGATAGCATGGATCGCTGCAGCCAGGACACTGACTGCTGATCACTTTCCTGCCTGAGCAGCAGTGCCCAGTTAGCCAGAAGGAAACATGCACAGTGGGCTGTTTAATCCAGGCCAGTGGTCTCCAAGAAGTCCCCTTGTCTAGGTTAAACAGGTGCAAGTCCACACCGTACTGAGAAGTGGTGAACCAGACTGCTGAGTGTGGGTCTGTCTTCGGTGTCCTACAGTGTATTTTATATTCTCCCTCTGCTGGGTAAACTACCAGTATCATCATTAAGTCTATGGGCACGCATTTGAAAACCCTGATTTACTTCTGTATTCCCTCAGACGATCGCCTACAGCATTTTGTGGGACCTGAAGTTTTTGATGAGGTAGGTGTGCTCTGAGCAGCGAGTTTTTGTGTACCTCCTCCTGCCTGTATGTTGCCCCGCACTGTTGGCTGGAGGAAACCTCCACGTGTACCCTGTGCCTCTGGGGAGCAGACTTCATAGTGGTGTCACAAAGCCTGCCCCAGGCCGGCAGGGTGGCTAGAGTGCAGCTCTCCGGACCCGGGTGCCTGGCATGGGCGTGAGGACTGAGGGCTGCTGGGGTCTCTCAGCAGGAAATGGAGACCTGACTGGGTTCCAGTTGCATGCAGACAGCCCCCGTGGTTGGTGTGGCTGGGGAGGCTGGTGCTGCTGAGCACGGCACGGGGCTCTCTTCTCAGTCTGGTCTGGCGGGCAGGTGCTTGATGAGCTTCAGCTTCTAGCCTCATTCTGTTCCTCAGGAACCTGGCCCTAGGAGGGGGCTTGCTGCTGCTCCTAGCAGAGTCCCGCTCGGAAGGGAGGAGCATGTTCGCGGGTGTCCCCACCATGCGGGAGAGCTCCCCTAAGCAGTACATGCAGCTTGGAGGCCGCGTGCTGCTGGTCTTGATGTTCATGACTCTCCTCCACTTGGACGCCAGCTTCTTTTCTGTGAGTACTGCTGCCTGCTCCGAGGGCACTGGCTGGGCCTGAACACAGCCTGGGCACAGGAAGTGGCCCTTTTATCTCAAGCAAACAAGCCCCATCTGTCTCATGTGCAGTAGGAGCTGGCTCCTGGCAGGTAGAATCCAAGGCCCACTGCCCTTTCTGCAAGCTCCTTTGACTCCTCTGGAGCCTCAGTTGAGTGGGTTCACTGTATGTGCAGTGTTAAGGTGGAGGGGCCTGGGTGGGCGTGGCACCATGGGGAAGGTGTTTCTAGCCTGGACACTGGCTGGAGTGAGGCCAGCCCTGGAGTTCATCTTGGTAAGTCACAGCCCATTCCTCAGGGGTCTGTTCTTTCCCCAACCTTTCACACTGACTGAATGGCTTTGTCTGGTCCCATGTGTTTCTTGCTGTCCGCCATGGTGGTCACGTCAGCCTGGCACTGCAGCCTTGGTGACTTGGGGCCACAGGACCATGTTTATAAATTCCATGCAGCTTTCTCACTGACACTGACTTCCCGCGTCTTACCTTTCATCCTGTGCAGATCGTCCAGAACATTGTGGGTACGGCGCTGATGATCTTAGTGGCCATTGGTTTTAAAACCAAGCTGGCGGCTTTGACTCTTGTCATCTGGCTGTTTGCCATCAACGTGTACGTCAATGCCTTCTGGACCATTCCCGCCTATAAGCCCATGCATGACTTCCTCAAGTACGACTTCTTCCAGACGATGTCAGTGATTGGAGGCTTGCTCCTGGTGGTGGCTCTGGGCCCCGGGGGAGTCTCCATGGATGAGAAGAAGAAGGAGTGGTAACAAGCAGGCCCCTGCCCTACCTGGCCAAGACCCAGCCATCAGGACTGGTTCAGGGTGGAGCTGAGAAGCTGCCAGCATTTGTGTCCTCCCCCTCCCTTCCCTTGGTAAAGGCACCGATGTTTTGAGAACTTTATTTGCAGACACCTGAAAACCAATGGGAAAGTCTGCTCTGGAACCAGTCTGGTACTGACTGTTGAGTGCTGGCTAGCTGGATGGACAGTCAGTCCCCCAGCCCTGGTTTTGAGTCCTTTTGGGGTGAGGGCCTTCCAGCTGTACTGAGCAGACAATGTTTATCATTCAGAGCAGTCTCCCTTGTTTCTTCAGTTTACATTTTTTGCTCAAACTACATGTTTGGGATGGTCCTTCCCGACATCTCCCACACAGTGACGCTCCCTGGCCCAGAACCACACCAGGCCGCAGCACCATCTCTGCCCTTGAGCTGTAGTTACTCTAAGCTCAGCCACTGAAGACCTCTTAAGAACTCCGCAGCCAGGGAGCGATGCAGTATTGGAGGAGCGACCGAGGCTGCTGGTGATGTAGTCACACATTCACATGCTCAGCTGGGCACTGGTCCTGGGTGACAGATACCCCAGAGGTATAGTGGCTTACGGCAGGGGCCACAAACAAGCCCCTGGGGAGCTGCTGCTCTGGGGCTGGGGGCCCGGTGGGCTGGTCAGGAGGCTGCAGGCGAGATGGCTGACCCTGACATTGAATCGGCTTGCGGAGCAGTGGCCGCAGAGGGCTCAGCCCAGTTACCTCACTTGACCTTCAGAGCCAGGCCTGGACACCCCAGCAGCCAAGTCACTGTCCCCGAGGCTGTTGCTTGCTCCAGTTTTGTCCAAGATCGTCTCACAGTTGTGATGCCTTACCGATTTGGTCTTGATCCTGTATTTAAAGTTTTCTAACATTGCCTTACACTGTGTCCTCTTTTTAGGGGGAGGGGTCTGTTGCTGTGGTTCCACTCATCTGCATGGTAGCAAATGCCACAGGGTGGCTGGGGCCTCTCAAGGACTCCCCGGCCTCTTGGGAAAACTGACCAGATGCACAGACTTGGAGGGACCATGGCTGCTAACCCCACATTTACAGCCAAGGTGCATCTCCACGGCCACCATAGGCCAGCCCTGAGCTAGTCACCTGCCCTGAGGGGACAGTAGTGACCCCTTTAGCAGTTGACACTTGTCCCTCAGTGTTTGCCTCTGATTGGCACAAACTCTCCCATGCCCAGATCTAGCAATGGCATCAGGCCACAGGGCCTGTACCTTGTGATGACGCGGACACTGCACATGCCTCTTCCCCACGAACACGGTGATGGGACAGTCCCATCAGACAGTGTTTCTCCAGGGCCTGTGGGTTGGGAGTTGTGGGAAGCCGCTCCCAGAGCCAAGTGCACATGAGGCCAACTTTGTCTGTGGCCTGGGGGTGGGGATTGGGCCTATCCATTGGTTTTGGCAAAACAGTTTCTGACAATGCTTTTGCTTTATGTGGGAATAGGTATAAATCTCATTTTTATGCTGTATTTTATATCTTAGTTGTGTTTGAAAACGTTTTGATTTTTTGGAAACATCAAAATAAATAATGGCATTTGTGTATGTGGCACAGTCCCACGGTGGTGTCAGCCTGGGGTGCAGTGGCAAGCTGCTCAGCTCGGCCTCACCCAAGGCCTCGGGAGCATGGGGTGCAACGCAGACCACCCCGCCCTGCCCTGCGCAGTGAGCATCGGGACACAGTTCCGAGGACACCGAAGGCCGCCTCTGTGGTCCTTCCTAGCCTTCCTGCTTGAAGGAGCCCAGGCTCTTGGGGCGGTGGTGCCGGCTCTTGCGCTTCTTGGTCAGCGAGCCCTGCTGCACCTGCGGCAGAGCAGAGAACTCAGTTATGACTGCTGGTCCCTCAGGGTGTTCTATCCATGTGCTGCCTGCTAGCCCAAGGAGGGCTGCTCCCCACCACTGGTTCTCTTCAGTGTGTGGAGTGGGAAAGGGCTCCTGTTGCCACGGCTCTGCCCTCTGCAGTGAAGACCTGACACCTCCCCTTTCCCATGGAGGACAGAAAGTTGCTGTGTGGAACCAGGCCCCTTCCTCTGGGTTCCTGGGCCACGGCCATACCCACTACAACTGGGGGGTGGGAGGGACAGGACCCACATGTCCTTGTCCTTTGAAACCAGAGGTGTGGACCGTGCTCCTGGAGAGCATCCTTCCCCTCAGTGCCTTCTGCTTCAGCTTTACTTAAATGTCACATAGGATTTCACTTGTGAAAAAAAATTCTGGATTTTTTTTTTTCTGAGATGGGTTTGCTATTATATAGTTCAGGGTGGCCTTGAACTTGTGGTGAGCCTCCTGCCTCAGCCTCCCAAGTGCCAGGATTATAGGCATCTATCACTATCCCTGGCAGCCAGAGGCAACAGCTTACCTTCCTGCGCTTAGGGATCTGCTCATGGGCCACTTCCATCTCCGTCCTGCCCCTGGGGCACTTCCCTCCTGGGGGCCTTGGATCCTCCTCCTCCTGGTCTGTCAGAAAGTCATCGGTGCAGCCTTCGTTCTCAGGCCCTCGTCCATCCTTTTTGGTGAACAGCTCGGCTAGAACAGGCACAGGGCTGAGGCTGTGGGTGAAGCAGTGCTCTCTACAGGGGTGGATGAGGGCGGCTGCCAGGGCCAGGACAGCAGGACACCTAGCAGGGAGGGCGGCACAGGACCAGAGGGGCGGGCCAGGGCCTGGAGCTGCGGGGACAGGCCTGCACTTACGTGGGTACAGGTCTGTCATGCTGTCGTCGCTCTGGGCTGTCTCCTCGTCACTGGACTCTGGCTGCCAGAAGGTGTCCCTCAGACCCGGCGGCCTGTCCCCGTTCATCTGGTCTCCCCTCCTCCGCTTGTGCAGCAGGCAGGCAGGAACGAACTCCACCCCTTGCTTCTGACACTCCTCATCTGGGGGACAAGCTGGCTCACTTGGGGCCCACCACGCCCTGGTCCCTGTGTGCACCCTGCCAGCACCAGCCCCCACTTTACAGGATGGGCACCAGCTGAGTGCAGTGGGCACCTGGCCAGGCTGCAATCAGGTGGCTGGGGGCGCTGTACAGGGAGGCTGGCATGAAAGCCACATAAGCCTGTCACCTGCAGACAGAAGTCCTCCCCAGTGCCACGTGGGCCAGGCCTGAGAGCCGTGAGAGCTGGCTGGCTGCTTGGCCCTGGTGGCTCCCGGGCTTGGAGCCTGCGAGCCGGGACAAACGTCCGCTTTGTGGAAGGCCCTTCCTGGGGTCCCCCTGTTGTCCCTTGTGTCCGCAGGCTGCTGGAGCTCAACCCTGCAAGTGTGGGCTCCAGGAACCAGAGGAGTGTCGTCTTGGTGCTCACACCTGTCAGGGGGACCTGGCTGCACGTCTGTTCCTGGGGGCGAGAAACGTGTAGGCCCCTCTCCCCATCTTCCCATCCTCAAACCAACCTGGTCTGCACCTACCCAGGCAGGGCAGAGGCAGTGCAGTCCCTGGCAGCCTGCACACCTAGCCTGGCCTCTGGCCACTCCCCGTCGCCACTCTTTAGCCACCTTCCTTTCTGTACCCACCAAATGGCTGAGGGTGGTTTATCTTCCCCTCTGACCTCGAAAGCACCATCCCTTCCCCCGCACGGCTGCACCACCATGTCCCCTCCATCCTCTGCAGGCCGTGCATGCCATGTCAGTCTCGGTCTTGACCATGGTTTCACAGGACCACGGCCGTGTCCTCTCCCCAGAGCACAGCCCCTGGGCCTGGAAAGCGCCCCACAGAGCCTCCCAGCCCTCTGGTCGAGGGCAGGCCTCTTGCCTGTGCATGCACGCACCACACCACCAATTGCAAAGCACACTTCCTCCCCAGCCAGAATCTGGCTCTGCACAGATCCCCATGGGAAACTCCGTGAGGCCAGGGGTCGTGGCGCCCCTCCCTGTGCCGGCGCCGGGCAGATGCATCATCACCGTGGGACCGAAGAAGGGTGACAAGGAGCCGTGCTCTGGCCGAGGGAAAGTGACAGGAGTCAGAGGCCCGTGCCTCTGTGGCGGCCAGGGTGACTTACACTTTCGCAGCGCTCTCTGGTACCGCCGGCCCTGGGTGTGCCGCAGCACGTGCTCTGGGGACTTGTTGATGTGCCGCAGGGTGAGTTTGCAGAACAACTGGTGCCTGCGGGGCAAGGAGAGCGGTGCGGTGTGCAGGAGGTGCGCGGGCGCACAGAGGTCCGCGTGGCTCCAAGCGGGACCGCCCGAGTGCTGAGGACGGGGTGATGTGGCCAGACCATCGATTTTAAAAGATGCAGAAACAATTCTCCATCACGGCTGGGCGCAGACCACTGACCCAGCCGGACTGTGACCTCGCTCTCGCCGGAAAGGCAGGCGCAGCAGCCTGACGCCGCTGCTGGGCGAGCACACGCGGAGACGCCCTGGGCGCGGAGGCTCGAGCGTGGGCGCTCTGCCACCACCTCCTCCCTCCGACGGCGGCCCAGCCACATGCTGCGGCCACACCGGGGGCCCCGTGGCGGAGGGGACCCTATCTCAGGCCCGGTTAGGGCGCGCCGGCCACCTACGGCTGTTTGGTGCTGGGCACGATGTGTGGCTCGAACTCCGCGTAGTCGAAGGCCGGGGAGGCGCGCGCCAGCCGCTGGTACTTCTTGCCGCCAGTGTAGACTTGCAGCTCGCGCAAGCGGCAGGGCAGCTCGTGGCCAGTCAGGGAGCAGCGCACCTGCGGAGGCGGCCGAGGGTGGGTCAGGGCGCCGGGGTCCCCCGCTCCCCCTGCGCCCTGCCTGGTCCCCGTCTCTTCGCTCCCCTCTCCTCCCGGTGCGGACCTTATTGGCGCCAGGAAGCAGCCGCAGGCTCGGGTGTTGGCTCAGGAAAGCCTGCACGGCTTGAGACGGATCGCCCATGACAAGACCTACCGGACGCCCGGCAAGGAGGCGTGGGAGGTGCCCGGAAGTAGGCGCCCCGCCCCGGAAGCACAGTCCCTGACCCCGGAAGCGATCCCCAGCGCGGGGAACGATGGCGGCAGTGGCTTCTCGGATGCTGGGGCTGCGGGCGGCGGGGCTGCTCCGCGCGGCTTGCGTGGGGCGGGTGAGTGGAGGCGCAGTGGGGCGCGGAGGGGGGCCTGGAGGGGGGTCCAGAGGGGGGCGCGGAGGGGGCGCGAGGTCGGGTGGGAGCTCAGCCAGCCGTCGCATCCCCGCAGGCCGGCGCCTCCCGGAGTGTCCTCGGGGTCACCTCGCGCCCAGGTGAGCAGGGCGCGCGGGCTCGGAGTGGGGGGGCGCGGAGAGACTGGAGGACAGCGCCGCGGGTCACCGGGTGACGGGCTGCCTCTGCGTCCACAGTCCTGGCATCGGCTGCCTGGGCGGTCAGCAGGACTTGGTCAACAGCCCGGGCGGCTTCTGGCCCGGCAGGCTCACGGGACTTGAAAGCTTCAAGTTCCTCCTGTGTACTTTGTCCCTTCTCTGCATTTACGGCGCACAGTGAAGCGAGTGGCTTAGAGTTCCATAAGCCACTGCTCTGAGTTTATGACACGATTCTTTCAGTGTGGCACAAAGTCGCCAGTGCCTGGCCGAGCTTCTTGTTAACTGTACCTGCGTCTTAAATGGATGAATAAATGAGTAGTTGTGCAGATCAGTGCGCTAGGACCCACAGCACATTCTTGAGTCTGAAGTAAGCCTGGCGTGGTGGAGCCCGTTTGCGATCCCAGCAAGGGTGGGAAGCTGACGCTTGAGGATTGCAAGTTTGAGCTCAGCCTGGGAAATTTAGCAATTTAGTGAGATCCTGTTTCAAAGTAAAAATAAAAGGGCTGGGGATGTAGGGTTAGGGTTAGGGAACTCAAAGGCCCTGAGTTCAATCCCCAGCATCACACACACACACACAAAAGTCCTGCGGTGCTTACGTGGTCCTGGTTGATGGTAGAGCCAGCAGTGAGTGCTGATTGTCATTTGTTCACTCACAAACGTGCTGGACACAGGTGCTGCAGGTTGGCCCGACAGCAAGTTTTTGTTTGCTCCCTCTTCGGCATCCTTGGGGCTGCATGAGTGGAGCCTCTGAGGAGTTGGCTGCTCAGTGCTGTGTGTTTTATGGCTTCTGAACATGGCAGTGTTGTAAAACTTCCTTAGGGGTGGCATGGATGCCAAGCAGGTGTGGCAGCTCTGCAGCAGAAGCGCCTGCCACAAAAGCAGACGACTCCGTCCTCCAGTGGTTGCTGCTTCTCATCCCTGTGACCGCCTTTGGCCTGGGGACATGGCAGGTAAAGACTGGCGACTAGCGCCAGCAGCCCTGAGCCCTTGGTCCTGCTGCCCTCTGCCTGGCTTAAACTGTGTTTCTGTAGGTCCAGCGCCGGAAATGGAAGCTGAAACTGATTGCAGAATTAGAGTCTAGAGTTATGGCTGAGCCCATCCCTCTGCCTGCAGAGTGAGTGTGGCTTCCAACCGGGGCCTGGTTTCTGCTCAGTCCTGTCATGTCCCTCACCTCAGACAGGAGCCCTCAGGATCAATCTTGCAGGCCTTGCTGTTGACAGCAGATGTCTCCTGGGACATCATTTTTCATGCTGGGTTTCAGCCTCTTTCAGATCTTGAGTGATCCCTTAGCTGACAGCCCCTGTAGCAGGGATTCTTAGCTAGTGGGTGAGTGCAGTGGATCATGTAGGGCTCACCATGAGCATGGTAGTAGTGAAGAGTGCTCTAAATGGTCCGGCTGTCTTCTCTCCCTCATTTGAAAGCGCTTAGAGTGACATGGACATTTAACAAAGAGAACACATTGCCATATTTGCCTTGCAGATGGCAAATGTGGGTCATTTTATTACTTTTATGGAAAATATTCATATAGGAAGCTACACTGTATTTCACTTTGCCAGCACAAATCTATATTCCCACGTGGTATCAGGGCTAGAGCTGAGGGCCACCCCTTCCAGGGCACACCCTATGATTCAGTGGTCTCCACTGGACCCCCCCCCCTCCCCTTTGCGTCTTATCCTTAGTCGTCTGCTCATTTGCAACCCCGGGAAGGGGATTTATTTGCCACAGCTCTTATCTCCTCGTAGCCCAGTGGAGCTCAAGAACCTGGAGTATCGGCCAGTGAAGGTTAAGGGGCACTTTGACCACTCCAAGGAGCTCTACATAATGCCCCGGACCATGGTGGACCCTGCCCGGGAGGCCGGCCGGATCTCTTCTTCAACTGAGAGCGGGGCCTTTGTAGTTACCCCCTTCCACTGCACTGACCTGGGGTGAGTAGGTCACACTGGGTGCTGGCTGGCTTGGCAGAACAACTGGATTTTTATTGTCCATCTCAACCGCTGACCTTGGTAAGACCCTGGGGATCCAAAATACCCAACAAGCTCTAGCTCTAAGTTTGAAATTGCCAGTTCTGACACTCACAACCTTCTTAGCTATCTCCTGAGTAGGATCTGGATGTGAAACCGAAGGGGAAGTGAAGTTACTGACAGCCCCTCCCCCAGAAAGCCCAGGGACCAACATACAGAGCTGCTGTGGTCCAGCAGGAGGGGTGCAACAGGGAGGAGCCGAAGCTGGGAGCGCTGCCCAGGGGCTACTGCACCGCAGCACTTAGAGCATTCCAGGCGAAGGGAAAACATGCATGCAAATGAAAACACCAGGCTCTGTTAGCCCCCCTGGGGTTCCCAGTGTAGGTCTGGGGGTGGGGGTTGGATACTGTGTGTACAGGAGTTTGCCCCATGCTTATATAGTGGGGCAACCAGAAAGTGGAACACCCAGGGGTGAAGTGATGGTAGGGAGCTTTGTCAGTCCAGGGGGCAAAATTCACTGATGCTGAAGTCCCTTCCAGAGAGGCCATTAACAATTACCCTTGCGTAAAAACCCTTCCCCACCTGAAGCAACACTTTCTTTACACTAGAGTTACCATCCTGGTAAACAGAGGATTTGTCCCCAGAAAGAAGGTGAATCCGGAGACCCGGCAGACAGGCCAGGTAATGGAAGGGCAGGCTGTTCTTGTAAGGGCCTTTGTCACCTGGCCTCCAATAAAGCACTGCCTCACACTTTGTAGGTTGAGGGAGAAATGGACCTAACTGGGGTGGTGAGGCTGACAGAAACCAGGAAGCCCTTTGTCCCCGAGAACAACCCTGAAAGGAACCACTGGCACTACCGGGATCTGGAGGCCATGGCCAGGACCACAGGCGCGGACCCTGTTTTCATTGATGCAGACTTCAGTATGTTGTGGCCCACCCCAGGCTGCTGTGGAGATATCCCTACACCCTTGCTTCCTGGCCAACTTCCAGCCCCAGCACTGGAGGGGCAGGGTCGGGTGGGCCTTAGCAGAGAAAACTGGGATACCTTGGGAAAAGGAGGAACAGAGGGGCAAGTAGGTTCTAGGCAAAGACCTCATGAGTCACAGGAGCCCACTGTCTCTACAGAGAGCACTGTCCCTGGAGGACCCATTGGAGGGCAAACCAGAGTCACCCTGCGGAACGAGCACATGCAGTACATCATTACCTGGTCAGTCCCCCTGGCCCTGGCCCTGGCCCTGGCCCTCCCCCTGCCTCCCCCTGTGTGCAGCTTGACAGCTTTATGTTTCTGTTCTCTACCCCAGGTACGGGCTGTGTGCTGCTACATCCTATCTGTGGTTTAAGAAGTTTCTGCACCGGATGCCTGCTGTGTGACAGGGTCAGTACAGCCCTACCCGTTTAGAGCTTGCAGCTTGCTTTTAGTGTAAATAAAAACCCTTGAGCTCTTATTCATGTCACATTTTCATTCGAGTGCCTGACCCAGCTTGGCCTTGACTGCAAACTTGCACCACTCCAGACAAGTTCACACCAGATTAAGGACGATTTATTATTTTTATGTACAGAAAACGCAGACAGTACACTTAGCCCAGTTTAGTAGCAAGTTCTTTAGCCTTTGCCTTTTCTAGCTTAGCGATGCGAGCCACAGATTTGGGGCCCAGGACATTGCCTCCCCAGTGACGGCGGATCTGAAATGACAAAAGAACAGTCAGCATGGGCGGTCATCTGCCAAGGCTTTCAGAGCACAAGCATGGGGGGGAGTGTCTCAGGAGTTTTAATCCCTAGCCCCGGGGCTGACAGCACATGCTCAACACCACTGACTGGTGTCTAAGTGCATAACCCTGAGCAGCACTGGTTGCTCGCCAGACCTCTAAGAAAAGCTCGATTTGCCCAGGACGTCACCTGCATGGAATCATGGGCTTACCTCATCGTATCTGTCATTGTAGTTGGTCCTGATTGCCTCCACCAGCTTAGCCAGGGCGCCTTTGTCTTCCCTAACAAGGTGATAGAGAAAGATGGCATTTAGCCTCAAGTACCTTAGTTAAGATAGCTGGAATGACTGTCCACTCTGGTTTGAAATGCAAGCCTTCATGCCTCAGATAAAACATGACCACATGGGTTATTCAGGTGAAGAAATTCTTAACCATCATCGGCATTCGAAGTACTCCTTGCATAAAGACACTGTTCTCAAGTCCCAAGGCTGCACACTTACGAGTTGACTTGTGTGAAGGCAACAGTGGTGCAGGTCTTCCTGTGGACCAGGCGCCCCAGCCTGGCCTTCCCCTTGATGATGCAGTAAGGGACACCCATCTTGCGACACAGGGCAGGCAGGAACACCACCAGCTGGAAGAGAGGACTGGCTGAAAAGTGTGTTCTGACCAAAGCCGGTCATGGAAGAGCTGGCTTGGTGGCAACTGCTCAGGGTTAAAAAGCTCATATATTTACACTTCATGGTGTAATTCAGTGAGAGATTTACATCATTGCAAGTGCCACACAGACTCAAATCGTACTGTAGTCTCACCTACAATGTCCCTGCAAGGCTTCTATATTCAGAAAGGGCACTTTTGGAACATGTCTGAGTGCAGGTGACATACTTAGTCGACTGGTGAGTTCCCAGCTGAATGTGCTTCTAGGTAGGGCAGAGTTGGAGGACATGGGTCCCTTGTGCTTGCCCCCAACCCCTTTCCCTCTGGCCATGATGACCTGAATTCCTGCCATGCCGTTCTACCAGGTGTCTGCCTTGGAACCAGCTATGAACTAAATGAAACCTTCAGCCTCCAAGCTGTGTTATGTAAGACATTTTGTCTCAGCAATTTAAAGCTGGCTAACACAAATACCTCATCAACATTATCCTCAAATGCAAGGGGCTGTCCTGGCTACATGTGCCAGACTCAGGATTACAGCTACTCGGGGTTCCCCGTTCTGCCCTACGACGCTGGCCGAGGAATCACTGTTCAGAAACCCAGCAGACCTACCTCAATGGGGTCCACGTCGTGCGCAATCACCACTAGCTGAGCCTTCTTGTTCTCTACCAGAGTGGTGACAGTATTAACACCTGGAACACAACCACGGTAAGTGCACGCACTCAGGCTGCTCTGGTCCCAGAATGCAGCTGTAACCAGCTGTGACTGAGTGTTAAAAAGCTTGATTTATAGTGATTTCAGGTGAAGAAATTCAGGTGAAAAATTGAGACATCACTGCACAGCCCAGCCTCCCATGTCCACCTCTAAGGAGGGGCCCCTTACCTGCTCTGAGGACTGGTGGTCTCTTAGTGGGGACGTCCCCTTTGCCAGCAGCTTTCTTCTCTGCTCGGGCCAACAGCCTCTGCTTCTTCTCTTGCTTAGTCTCTGGTCTGTACTTGTGGGCAAGCTTAAGCAGCTGGGTAGCTAGGAAAGCATCCTTCAGTTAGGCCCTGCGGTTCAAGGTCTAGCCCATCACTTAGCATGATGTAAATGCTAAGACCTTAGTGCTACTAAGGACTGTACCCAAGGCCCACAGAGCTGTGCTGCCAGCTTTCTTAGAGAGCCATAGGGTCAGGCGACACACCATCTTTCAGGTAGGCCAGCGCTATAGATGGCAGTGAGGCCCATTCCACACCACAGAAACTCACCTGTTTGGCGGTCCAAGGCCTGTGTGAACTGGTTAATCGCAGGAGGCACCTTCAGCCGCTTATACAGGATAGCCCTCTGTCGCTGCAGCCGGATGTAGCGGGGCCATTTCACAAAGCGGGTAAGATCTCTCTTGGGCTGGATGTCCTGTCCTGAGAAGAGTTTGTAAGAATATCAGCGAGGCTCCAACCCTGGGTGCCAAACCCAACGGGGCCACCGAGAAGGGTGTCGGTGCATCAGCGATCTTGGTGGTTTGAAATGTCATCACCATCCTTCAGATAGCAAATATTCTTTCACATCATCTGCACACAAACACCTGGACCTGGGGGACCAGCGACTCCTTTCGTCTGTAGGAAGTCCAGACCATCGTCCCCTGAGGCCCAAGGCTGAGGACAGCCACTAAGCACGCCACCACCGTCCCCATGGCCAGTTCAGCTTTCTAGTAAGCAGAATAAATCTCATGGCAACAGGCTGGACTACATACCCCGATACCTACAAAATTCGGACTAATTGCAGGAGAGCTCAATTAATTAATTGAACACTTTAAAAAAAAAACCTTTTTGTTTTTTTTTGGACAGGGTCTTGCTAGGCAGTTCAGGCTGGTCTTGAACTCCAGGTGATCCTCCTGCCTCAGCCTTCCAAGTGCTGGGGTTACAGGGGTGCGTCACCACGCCCGGCTCTTCCTTTTCATTTAATGAAATGCCGCGATTTTACTAAGAAAAACCACTTCAGAAGCCAGTCTGGCTCTATTCCTTACCAATGCCGAAGTTCTTCGGCCTCTTCTCAAACAGGGGATTTACCACCTTCTTGGCCTCCTGCTTCTTCACGACAGCAGGGGCCGGGGCCACCTTCTTCCCCTTGGCCTTCTTCCCTTTCGGCTGAGCGGAAAGAAAAACCCGATTAAGCCCCCCGCTCCTCGACTCCCGCACGGGGCGCCAAGGGCGTTCGGCAGCCGGCTCGAGCCTCGCCCGCGGCCCTAGCGACGGCGCTGCTCGCGCATCGGCGCGCCTCACGGCCGGGCAGTCCTCGGCACCCTTGGAAAGGCGACGTCCTGCACATCATCTGCAGACACACGTGAACCCGGGGAGCAGGCCGGAGCGCGGGCGCACTGCTCCACGGCCGCTTCGCACGCCAGCCGCCGCCCGGCGCAGCCAGGGCCCCGAGCCAACTCCAAGCTGGCGGCACAGCAGCCAGCCCATCCGCTCCCTGTCGCGGGGCAGCCGGCTCAATGTCTCCCTGCCATGCCCGGGAGAGCTCTCCCAACGCCAGGCCGAAGCGCGGACCCCGCGCGGCCGCGCCCAGAAGTGGATGTCGGCGGATAGATTCCACAAGAACACCTGATGCCACAGAACTCAGACTCACCATCTTGGGCGGTGGACAGAAAGAGAAACTAAAAGGACTTGTGGGTAATATGTAAGTAGCTGCAGCTATCGCGAGAGCTGGCGTCTGCGCGGGACTTCGGATTTAAAGCGACAGGACTCCTTAAATTCTTCCTCGGAGGCGGTGCCTAGAGCAGCTTCTCACCCAGCCGCAAGGTGGGCCGGGGCGGAGACGCTGCATCTGGGCGCCCTGGCCCGCAGAAGCATCGGTAAGCGCACCACGGAGCGATCCTGAGTGCCTGGGGGGGCTGGCCTCCCTGTGGGGACGCAGCCCCAAGGCCTGGAGCGGCGGGGCCTGGGAGGGAAAAGGCCCCAGGGGGCCCGGGACGCAGGGCGGGATCGGAGCGACGGGGACCGGCGGCCAGGCCGAGGCTTGGGGGCTGAGACACCCCGTCCCCGACGGCGTGTTTTGCGCCTGCGGGTGCAGGTGGAGTGACCCTAGGCAGGTGGGGCGTCCAGAATGCCCACCTGCTGGGTTGGGCAGTGTAGCTGGCCTGTCGGGTGCTGGGTGCGCTTGCGCAGGGAGAGGGGTGGGCCTGGGACAGCCCCTGACTTCGCAGTGCCTGCTGAGGTCATCTGCGTTTGAATGGTGGGGGGACTTTATGCGGCAGGAAGGGGCTCCCCGGAGTTCTGCATGTTCTACTCAGGTGGTGGACGAAGCGCTGTCCTGCACTACTGTGTCAGACTCCCTGGCCTCTCCCTGCGCCCCCCGAGCCAGTCATGGCCCAGCAGAGAGCCCTGCCGCAGAGCAAGGAGACGCTGCTGCAGTCCTACAACAAGCGGCTGAAGGACGACGTCAAATCCATCATGGACAACTTCACTGAGATCATCAAAACTGCCAAGGTGGGTGAGCGCTGATCTGGCCCTCTGAGACCTGCTCAGGAGCAGCCTCGAGAGTGCACAGCAGAGCAGGGGACCCCCACACCCACCCACCATCCCCAGGGCAGCAGGGAAAGGGTCGGACACGGCCCTGTGCAGAGAGCATTCTGGGGTGGGTAGAGGTGGCAGGGTGTCCTAAGGAACAGGTAACAGATAAGCAAAGGTGCAGTTACAAGGCCTGGTAGAGGCTGACTGCGGGAGCTCCAGGCCCAGCACTTACCAGCAATGTGGGCTTGATGCAGAAAGATTTCACTCTCCGGCGCCTCAGTTTCCCTAGCCTTGTGGGCCCCCGTGATGAGTTCCTATAAAGCAGTTACTGCGGGGCCTGGAACAGGGTGAGTGACCAAGCCCTGGTTGCTGCTGCGTGTGAGAGTGAGCAGAAGGGAAACCGGGAGGCCAGAAGCTGGGAAGGCCCCTCCGGGCTGGCAGAGCACTCAGTGTCTTGGTTGGGGTCGGGCTGACCCCTCTGCTGCACCGAAGGGGGCCGATCATTCTGACTGCTGCCCACAGGCCGGCTTGGCTGACCGCACTGGCGGTAACCGGAGCTGACAGTTACTGGCACTCACGATGGGGCAGGCCAAGACGTGACGACTGTTTGTGGCACTCTGCTTCATCCCCCCTTGAACTCTGAGGCAGGTGCCATTGTTCTCAGCACAGTCAGAAGGGGAAACTGAGGCCCAGAAGACTCAATAAACTTTTTAAAATTAAGTGTATTGGTACCATTTAGATATACATCTTTTTTTTTTTGTCTTCTTGAAACAGGGTCTTGCTATGCAGTTCAGGCTGTCCTCGAGCTCACTTTGTAGCCCACCCAGGCTGGTCTTGAACTTGCAATGATTCTCCTACCTCAGCCTCCTGAGTGCTGGGATTACAGGCGTGTGCCACCACGCCCGGCTTCATTTAGATCTACATAATGATCGCCTTCATCACAAGGAATTTGTACCTGTATGTGATGTATCTTGATTGTTCCTTTTTTCCTTTAACTCAATAACTTGCCCATGGTCACTCAGCTAACTGACAGAGTTGGATTTGAACTCAGGGAGTCTGGCTCTTAATCACTGAGCCCACACCCTGTCCATTCTCACCTTAGGCCCTGCCGGAAGCCCTGTCCAGGATGGCTCCTGGGACCTTTGACCCAGATGTGCTGGGCTGGTGTCCTGGCTCTGCTTGCTCTGCTCTGCTCTGCTCTGCTCTGCTCTTTTCTTTTCTTCTCTCCTCTCCTCTTCTCTTTTGAAACAATGTCTCACTATGTAGTCCAAGCTGGCCTTGAACTCACAGCAGTCCTCTTGCCTCAGCCTCCAAGTGCTGAGATTACAGGTGTGCACCACCACACCTGCCTCCTGTGTTTATTTCTGAGACACCATGAACCTCTAGCTGCCCATCTGTGAGCCTGGCATGGCAGGCCAGGCTTGAGTGATAGTCAGCAGCAGTGCTCAGTACAGAGCCCAGCGTCCTGGCAGTGATGGGGAAATGCTCCTCGGCAAAATGCATTGTTGCCGGGTGTGGTGGTGCACATCTGTAATCCCAGCACCTGGGAGGCTGAGGTAGGAGGATCACCGTGAGTTCCAGGCCAGCCTGGGCTACATAGTGAATTCAAGGCCAGCTTGAACTGCAAAGCAAAACCCTGTCTCAAAAATGAAAAAACAAAAGAGCAAGTGCATTTTTTTTTTTTTTTTTAACCCTGTCATTCAACGATTTACCTAGTGCCTGAGCCAGCACACAGGTCCCAGCCACACAAGCCTTCACACCCCAACAAAGACGTGGCCCGGTTCATTAAGACCCTGTCCCTGTGCCTAGTGCAGTCTTCAGTGCAGGCAGCTGTGCCTTGGCCCCAGTGAAGGTGCTAGTGTCTCCCATGGAATAGACACGAGAAGGGGAACTGAACGTTGCCAGTGGTCTGGTGAGTGGGATGCTGGGGCTGCAGGAAGCAAGGCAGTCTGGCTGTGGCAGCGCGGCCACACTGGGCAGCTGGCTGGTTCCTGTGTGCCAGGCTGGGCCATTGGTGGGGACTCCAGAACCGATCGCCTGGGCTGATGGTAGACTTTCTTGCTTACCCTCAGGTCGAGGATGAGACACAGGTGTCACGCGCCACTCAGGGTGAACAGGACAATTACGAGATGCACGTGCGAGCTGCCAACATTGTGAGTTGCTGGGGGTGGAGCCTCAGGTGGGGTTCCCACTGGAGTTAGGTCTTCAGCACGCACGTACGCACATGCAGGGCTGCTTTGGTTTCACCCCTTGAATGAGGTGGGGGCAAATCTGTTCTCAGAGTATTCCCAAGAAAGGCACTGGTCATGCCAGCCCACCCAGGTGCTGTGTGGTGGGCAGGGGGAGGGGGCCCTTCCCGCTGACCTGAGGGTTCCCCAGGTCATTGTGAGGGAGAAGAGATTCGTGCTGTGATCCTTCCCGATGTCAGAGGAAAACCTAGCAAGCCGGGCTCCCCGCAGGTGTGCACCCACAGATGGGCATGCACGGGGAAAGGCCCCCCGGAACCCGCTGCCACCTCTGAGAAGAGCCGGGCAGGAGGCGGGAGAGGACGTAGGCTTCCCAGGGGTGTGAGAGCAATGTGCAGATGTGTGCGTGCATAGCCTGTCCTTCAGGCTCATGGGCCTGGAAACCAGTGGCCAGGGTAGGGCAGAGCTGAGGGCAGGGCAGCCCCACTTCCCCATCAGTGTGGGTGCCAGACCCTGGCTCCCTAGCTCAGATTGTAGTGTTTTCGCTTCACCCTCACAGACATCCCATTCTGGCCCGAGTCTGCAGCCCCTTTTGCAGATGAGGAAGCTGAGGTATCTGGGGAGGCCACTGCTGTGCCCTCACCCTGTGCCTGCCCTGGTTCTGCTGGCTACAGGTCCGAGCAGGCGAGTCCCTGATGAAGCTGGTGTCTGACCTCAAGCAGTTCCTGATCCTCAATGACTTCCCATCAGTGAACGAGGCCATTGATCAGCGCAACCAGCAGCTGCGCGCCCTGCAGGAGGAGTGCGACCGCAAGCTCATCACGCTGCGGGACGAGGTCTCCATCGACCTGTATGAGCTGGAGGAGGAGTATTACTCGTCCAGGTACAAATAGGGTGGAGCCAGCAGGCGGGGCACCCAGACTGGAAGGGCCTGGTGTCCCCAGAGCGTTTGATGGACAGAGCGCTCACAGCTGCCCGCGGGGTTGGGCCTTTCCCTCAGTGCTGAGCGATGGACGTCTGTCAGGGAGGCCGAGTCTGGAGAAGGGCGTCCATCCTGTGGGGCCAGGCAGAGCCTCCTCTGGGCCTTGCTGCGCTTGGCTCTTGAATCCATATGCAGACATTTCAGCGGAGGCTAAGTGCCAGGCCCACACCCATGTCCAGGACACCACTGCTTGCCCGGATGCAGTTCCATGTGGATGTCACCGAACTTCACAGTGTGGGGACAGGGCAGCCCCGGGAGGGAGGAGGGAGACCAAGCCGAGAATGGCATGGACCCAGGCCTGGGGCACTTGGATGTGTGGTTTCTGGTAACCACAGCTCACTCACAGAACTGCAGCCTCCTGCATGCTGGCCTCAAGGGGCAGTGGTGGGCAGGACCTGTCACCCTAGCCCTCACTTGCAGTCCTGAGACCTGACACCCGCTGAGCTGGAGGGGCCTTGGAAATCAGATTGCAAAGTAATAGTTACCTGGGTGAAAGTGAGGCTGGAGGCCTTGTCCTCTGCCCCATTGACAGTGAGTGCAGCTTGGGTCCAGCGGTCGTAAAGCTTAGGCCACCTTGTGTCTCCAGACAGACCGTCTCCCTCCTGGCCTCTTTGTACAGAGCCGTGTGGTCTGTGGCTGGGCCTCGGGTTTCCTGCCCGTCTGGAGCGGTTCTGGAGTTCTCCAGGAGTTCTGGGGCTGGCTTTGCTCTCTGATCCTCCCAGGGAGGCAGACCTGGTCCTGAGGTAGCCCAGGCCCTCCCTCCCAGAGCAAAGCTCTTCACACCTCCATGTTACTGTCCATGAGGCAGCTGCTGGCCCAGGGGCCCTGATGGAGTAGCCGAGGGGCAGTCACTCAGCCTCAGGGTTGCCAGCCTTTGGGAGGGGGTCTGGCCTGAGGGCATGCAGCAGAGCTGGGATGGGAACCCTGGGAACTATGAGTGCCAAGGTCCTGAAGTCCCAGGTCTGCACCCAAACCAGCCTGTGTCCCTTTCCGTGGGTGTCCCGTCCACTCCAGCCAGCCCCTCCCTCCCTCAGACTCGTGGTAAAGCAGCTACCTCTCTACCACGGTCACCGCCAGTGCCTGGGCTCTGGAACCCCTCCTGCCCGTGCTGCACACATGCCGGTGTTCACCTTCTCTGCCCCCTCTGCTGCTCGCTCTCTCTGGCTCTGCCTCTGTCTGCCCTGCTCTCCTGTGGGTGCCGCTCTGAGTCTTGGACAGTTCTGAGGCTGGTGTGGGGGAGGCCAGGGCCACTGAGTACCCATTAGCTGTGGGCCATCCCTGCTCCAAGTAGCCACCGCCGTGACCAATACCCTGCCTCTCTGCCTGCACTGGAGTGCACAGAGCCCTGGGGGTCACAGGGCCGGAACAGTGGTACAGGGACATGCTGGGGCCCTTGTTCTGTCACCCCTTTAGGTCAGGTCCCAGGCAGGAGCTCTTCTGTCAGGGGCTGCTTCCAAAGTCTCAGCACCACACCAGCCCCTGAAGATTGGGACCCCAGAGGGGCTGGGAGAGTTGGACCACAAGACTGCAGCTCAGTGGGAAGGTGGGCCTGCTGAGGTCCCACAGCCTGTTGGTGGCTTTCTCCTTTCAGGAGGAAGCGCAGCAGCCATGAACCCCTCCCCTGGCTAGGCCTGCAGAGTAGAGGAAGGGATGGCAGCTTCGGGTGGCGGTCGTTTTCTTAACTCTCCTTCTATCTTGCTTCTCCCCTCCCCGGCTTTCCTCTCTGCCTGCTCCTGTCCCTCCTTGGGGTTTCTGGTGGTGGAAAAGCTCGAGTCTTTGCGAAGCTAATGACTTGCCTCTGTGCGAAGCTTACTGGAGGCTGGACCTGGACACAGACTCTGCTGATTGCTTCTCGGCCCCTCTGCTGGCATCCCCGGATCCTGGCACGGGCTCCCTGCAGGTTGCGGCCCCTGCCCACTCCCATGCTGGTGGCTCCGGCCCCACAGAGCATACCTGAGCTTCCCGGGATGCCTCCCTGTGCCCCTGGTTTATCAGGAACAAAGTCTAGCCCTCTCCTCTGGATGCCCACTGCCCCTCACTTCTTGGGGACCCCAGGGCCCAGGAGCCACCGTGACCTCCTTAGATAGGAAGCTGTCCGGGCTGGGGCCTGCCTCCCAGGATCGCTGTGGAGAATTCAGCCGCTTCCAGGGTGGCCCGGCATCGTCTCTAGCTGCTACCTTCCTGGCTGGCCAGGTGGGCGGAAGTTGAGGGCTCTGACTGGGCAAGGGGGATGACTGATGGCAGAAGGTGGCCTCCCCAAGTTTAAAACTGGGAGCCACCCAAAGTCGGTGGTGTGGGCCAAGCCTCGCCTCCCATCCTTGGGCCACAGTGCCTCTGCAGAGCCCTCCACTGCCTTTTGTCCCAGCACGCACGTCTGTGCCATAGGCTGGATGCCTTGGCAGGCCCGTGTGAGAAGCTTCTCCCTGTACCCTGCCGCCATGTCCATTCTGCCACTTTTGTAATGAGATTGAATAAAAACACTGCTACTCTTTCACACTGGTTCCTTGTCCTCATCCCTGGTCAGCCTGGGTCCACCCTTGGGCACCCAGCCACATCTGAGCATCAGCTCTTCATTTGGGATCCAGACTGAGCCTCTCCCACGGGCACCTAGCAAGTCTTCCATGTTTGGCGAATGAATGAAAAAACTGCTGCTGTTACCCATGTTGAGTGGCCCCAGCACCTCTGCCACTGATGTTATCTCTTTCTCATTGTCACCCCTGGTTCGGTTAAGCCTGAATTTCACAGGGGAGCAGATGCTGGCTTGGAATGGGAGGTGTGCCCCGCCACAGGACTAGGAAGTGAAGCAGTAGAAACATGGTTTGAGCCCTGGAGGAACTCGCCTAGGATTGTACCAGGTTCACCGTGGCATGTAGAAACCCAGCGCAAGGGCCAGGTGGCGGTGTTAGACTGGGAGAGATGAGGGTTCAGCCCTGCTCCGACTGCCATCCACACACCGACTCCCTCCCAAGAGGGCAGACGGAGGCCCCTGTCCCCAGCATTGCCGGCCTGGTTAACTAGCTGTCGCCAGAGGCCCAAACCCTCTATAGCTCAGCAGGAGGCAGGAGGAACTTGGGGCCTGGCCCTGGAGTCTAGGTCACACGGAGGGAGAGTCTTCCACTGGTAAGATATAGTGTTTTAATTTGGGATAGGCCCATACTGAACCACGAAGGAAGAAAAAGGTCTTACAAGCAGATGGAAGCACACTGCTTTCAAGAAATTTGATTTTGTTTTTTTTTGTTTTCCAGTACCAGGAATCGAACTCATGATGTTGCGCTTGCCGGGCAGGTGCTGCTGGGCCTAATCCCCAGCCCCAAGAAATTTGAGTAATAACATCTTTATATCACAGTTTTTTAACCCTCAGCTTGGCCAGTACCACTCAGCAGTGAAGTTTGCCCTGGAAGCAGCTCAGGTCTCTCTGGGCTCCTGAGCACAGCCGTTGCTCTGGCAGGACTTCACAAGAAAGGCCCACTTCACGGGTTCTCCGGAGCCTGCGGCAGATAGGGCTTGTCTCAGGGACTCCTGCGAAGCCACGTAAGGTCACCCGTGCTGAACCCTGGTCAGTCCTGTCTATATTGCACCTTTTTGATCCCAGGCATTCATTTCATTTTGAGGATGCTAGAACCCAGGCAAAAGTTGTATTATAAAGTTATAAGTAATGTGTATAGACAACACCCCTTTTGACCCTTTCGGGGTTCAGACCTTTGCACTTTTGCTCGCACTTCCTCGTATATAAAAATCATTTGAACTTCCATCTGCAAACTGCTTATCAGCTTGCCTACGAGAATGTTATTCACGGCCCCTGACCATCATTACTACCAAAATGAGCGGATGTCTTGTGTCGCACGGTATCCCTGCCGCACAGTTCCCGTGTCTTTTTATAGCTGTTTTTATTTTGCATCTCATCTCGCTATGTCTGCCCAAATCGGGCAGGACCCGGTGGCTGTAAGATGGGCTGTGGGGGGCGCTGCAAGGGGAGGAGGAGCCAGGGTGGATCGCGGTTTGGCCGCGTCGTGGAAGGGGTGGTAGAGCGGGTCTCCAGTGCGGGGAGTCCCGCCAGCCCCGCCACGACAGCGCCCGGGCAGAGGTTACGCCCTCATCGACCCACATGCATCTCACGGCCAGGGCGCGGTAGGGCGAGGCCGCGTGTGGCCTCTCCAGCACTGAAGACAGAGCGGGAGAGCCCGCATTTGCCCAGCCTACAGCCCCGGGCCGCGTCCCGAAGCGCCGCTTCTTCCGCGCACCACGCTCCAGCGCGGACCCACAAGGCCCCGCGCGGGCCGGCCCACAATGCCCCGCGCCGGCCGGGCCGGCGAATCCGCGCGCGCCTGCCTGCTGCGCTGTGGCTTCGTGTGTGTCGCGCGGTCTTGGGACCCGCGTGTGGGGCGGCGCCGAGCGCACCCGGCCTTCCCGCGGGTCGTAGCCATGGCCTCCCTGCTCGCCAAGGACACCTACCTGCAGGACCTGGCCAGGAAGATCTGCGTTCACCCCGGCCCCGAGCGGCCGAGGCGCGAGCGCGGTAACGCGGGTCGGGGCGGGGCCGGTCGTCCCCACTCCAGGCGGCCCGAGCGTGCCCTTTGCCGGCAGAAAACAGCGCTGCGGACAGCTGCGCCCTCGCCCTGCCCTGGGCGGCGGCCCGAGCCCCCTGCGCGGGGCGGAAGCTCGGCTGGCGCGGGCGGCTTGGAAGGGCCAGGGCAGAGGTCGGGCGGGCGGAAGAGCCTTTGCGGAGGGCTCCGGCTGTCCCCGAGAGGGGAGCGCAGGCTCTGGGGCCTGGGCCCCGAGGAGGAGGGCAGGGTTAACAGGGAGCTGCTGGATACCAGACGGGGTTTCGTTTTGGTAAAAGGAAAATGCTCCTTGTAGGAAATTTTGAAATTTGAGAGTTTCCCGCCGTTAGTTGTAGCTTAGTACTGTTTTTCTAGACTTTATTCTATGTGTGAGTTTCATGCTTTGAAACTGATGCACATGGTTTTGGAATTTAAATTGCGCACATTTTCCTCACCCGTTAAAGTGAAAGCCTGTGGTATAGTAGGTAGTAGTTCTTTGCATAGCGCTGCTATAATTTGTTGCTGCAGATGGATGTTTAGATGATCATAGTTTTCTATTTGATAATGTTATGTGAACACCCTTGAAGCTGGACCTTCTTGCGTAATTCTCACAGCGGAATGCGTGGAAGGGGTTTTGTTCTTGATGTGTGGTCAGTCTGCTTCTAGGCAGTGTGTGGGTTCTAGCTTTGTATACGGCGCTGCTGGCACCTCTGTCGAGCTTGTTTCCTTGCACGATTGGGAATTAAAGCCCTTGAAGGACATTTCTGGCTGCTGTATGACTTATGGATACGAGCTCACAACTCTTTTATCATTTTATATTTCAGCTGGCAAAGCTCAAGGCTCAGAAGCTGCTGGACCACCAAAAAAGAAAAGGAAAAAAACACAAAAGAAGTCCCGAGAACGGGAACAGAAGTCTGCAGAGCACAAGGCCAAGCCCGCAGGGGCGAAGTCTCTGGTGGCTTCTGGGGCCAAAAAGCCAGCAGCAGTTAGCAAGACGGAGGTTTCCAGCCCCACAGGAGACCTTGCAGGTGAGGGTTTGGGGCACAACCCAGGCAGGGCCCTGTAGGGTTTGGATGAAAGTGTGGCTCCCTCTGCTGTTAAGAAAAGGCACCGTTGCTCCAGGAACGAAGATCAGCCTTGCTCTGAGGGTGGGTGGGATGCAGGGCCTCAAGGCATCTAGAACGTTAAGGAGCAAGGCCATCCCTCTGAGGCCTGGAGCAGCTTGTCTGGTAGGAAATGTTTTCTTACACCTCAGTGACTTACTTGGGAGTCAGTTGCCTGTGCTAGAGGCAGTTGTGGGGACCAAGGCAGGTTGATGAGGTGGAGGGTGTACCTGATTGCCCTGCCATGGTGTAGGGCCCAGGAAGTACAGGCTGAGGCTTAGGTGCTGGCCCCTGGGGACGAATGGAGGGCCCCCTTCCAGCCTTGTCTCTTTACCTACAGGTGGCCGTGCCACAGAACCTGGCTCTGTCTTTGCCCTGGATGTCCTTCGACAGCGACTGCACGAGAAGATCCAGCAAGCCCGGGGCCAGGTAGGTGGGGGCCTTGTGGAGTGGTTTCTCGACCTGTCCTCTGTCCTTGTCTTCTCAGCAGGCCAAGGGGGGAACTTGGCCTTCCTCCTCAGAAAACTGTTGTCACTGACACCATGATGGCTGGGCACAGCTTGTGTCTGTCCTTCTAAAGGTCAGCACCCTGAGATAAGGTGACCTGTCCCGTATCCAGGACCAGTCACCTGGCACCCTCTCCTGGTGTGGGCTGGGTGGCTGTAGGCTGGGAGAGAGGCAGCAAGAGAGCGGAACTTAGTTGCACCAGGAGAGAATACGCAGTGGTTACTGCAGGGGCTGAGATCCCATCTAAATCCTGAGCCGCTGGAGAAAGGCTGACAGTGCTCAGAAGGATGCAGGCAAGGCCCAACAGCATCCTGGCTCGTGGGAAGGGCTGGGCATGGAGAGGCACAGTCCTTCTGTGCGGTCACTGGCATCGTAGGTCAGGGCACATCTCACTGTGGTACACCCTGCACAGAGGTCACTTCCTGTATCAGGGCTTCCTCACACATCTTCCGGCTCTGGTTCCATGCCGGCCATGTGCCACCGGGTCCTGAGCTGGGGAGGACTCTGCTGAATGAACCTGCTCTCCTAGGGCAGCACCAAAGAGCTGTCTGCGGCCACTCTGGAGAAACGGCGCCGGAGAAAGCAGGAGCGGGAACGCAAGAAGAGGAAGCGCAAGGAGCTGCTTGCCAAGAAGCAGGCAGCCCAGGCTCAGGAGGCAGAGGAGAAGGAGGCAGTGGGCAAGGCAGCCCCGGGGGCAACCTGTGCAGAGCCCGCGGAGCCAGCGCTGATCTTCAACAAGGTGAGTGGGAGGAGGGCCAGCCTCACTGTGGGGCTGCCCAGATCAGCGGCAGCGCTGTGCAGGGGGACACAGGTACAGTGCTGGCCTGGGCTGCTCAAGGGCCCGCCATCGACAGCCATTTCGTCCCTAGGTGGAGGTGAGTGAGGAGGAGCCGGCCAGCAAGGCCCAGCGCAGGAAGGAGAAGCGGCAGCAGGTGAAGGGGAACCTGACACCGCTGACGGGCAGGAACTACCGGCAGCTGCTGGAACGCCTGCAGGCGCGGCACAGCCAGCTGGAGGAGCTTCAGGAGCAGGATGCAGGCAAGGCCCAGGAGTTGGAGGCCAAGATGAAGTGGACCAATCTGCTGTACAAGGCCGAGGGTGTGCGCATCCGCGACAAGGAGCGCCTGCTGGAGGACGCCCTGAAGCGCAAGGAGAAGCGGCGGGCCCAGCGGCAGCGCCGGTGGGAGAAGCGCTCAGCGCAGGTGGTGGAGAAGATGCAGCAGCGGCAGGACAAGCGGCGCCAGAACCTGCGCAAGAAGAAGGCAGCGCGGGCTGAGCGGCGCCTGGAGAAGGCCCGCAAGAAGGGCCGGGTGCTGCCGCAGGACCTGGAGCGAGCCGGCCTTGTCTGAACCCTGTTGTGACCCTCGCCTGGCCCAGTGCCCAGCGTGGGCCTTCCTACATCTTCCCACCTGTGCCTGTTGTCTCCACGTCCAGGCGCTGTGACGCTGGGATGCCCCCTAGTTCCCAGACCTTGGGTCCTCAGGAGAGGGATGTGGTCCTAGAATCTCAGAGCTACTTCAGAGCTGGGATTATGTACCCATGAGAATGTTAGCTACATCCTCAGACCGCGGGGAGAGGTGACCCAGGTCCACCAGCAGCCTCTGAGGTGGGAGCACCTCTTGCAGCGTTTAGGTGGAGGAGGGAACGGGGTAAGGCACCGGAGTGGCCGCCTGCTGTGTGCACAGAAGGCGGAGCCTCAGCCAGCTGCCTTGTTCTGAACCTCAGCGGGCTGGGCAACAGGGAGGGGAGCAGCTGGCTTCGCAGAAGCTGTAGGGACTGGGTGTGATTCTGAGCCTGGATGCAAAGGCCTTCTGGTCAACCCTGGCTTCTGCCGATATTCTCCGCAGTACCCCACGGCGTCCTCACCGCTCACAACCCAGGGGTTGGGGGCCATCTTCCCAGATCCAGGCCTCATGGCCACATTCAGGCAGTCACTGGCTTGAGGGTTGTGGCACTGTGGTTGGCACCTGTTGGAGTAAGGTTGACGGTGGCCTGCAGGTACCAGAGGCATGGGTGAGGAGGCGTTGCGGAAGTGGCTAAGAGACCTGGGCATTTCTCTCTGTGGAGGTAGAAAATCCGCCCAGCTGAGCCCCCATTGCGAAGGGAGCCCCCAGCTGATGAGAAGTGAGGCAGACGGGCACCAGTGTGCAGCAGTTTACTGTGCCTGAGCCTCTTTGGAGAGGCTGGCTGTGCTGCTCTGTGGAGTCTCATCTAACGAGAGACCAGGAGGATGCCAGGGAAGTCCTGGGATTGCGGGGGCCGTGGCAGCAGAGCAGGGCGCCCTCAGGTCCTCCTTGAGAAATGCTGTCTGTAAGGGTGGACAGTCAGCAGCCTCTGGGTCCCGGCTGCTTGGTGAGTGGAGCTGGGCTTGAGTACTTTGTCCCGAGCAGGGCTGCTGTCAGGTGCTTGGCTGGGGCCTGGCAGCCGTGGGTGGTGGTGTGGGCTGTCCCCTTCTCGCGCCCTCTGTCCTTCAAGTCAAGACCCCAGTAAACAGCTTGCACCTCTGACTCCGTCTTGGAGTGTCTACCAAAGGGTGAGGGTGACACGCAGCTCCCAAGCAGGATTTAAGTACTACCCCTGCACATGTCTGCAGCTATCGGAAGAAACAGCCTTGCGAGGAAGAGATTCATGCTGGTGCTGTGCAGCCACTGTCATTGCCTGAGGCACGGGAAGTGCCGAGGGGAAAGAAGTCTGGGGTTTGTGCCCTGTAAAAAGTCACTGCGGTGAGCATCACCTGAAAACCCCCATCACACCCTAGCAGGAGGAAACACGTTGAGGGAAAAAATAATACTTTCAAATGGTGAGCAGTGGGCTGAGATATTTTGAATCTAGGTGAATGTCAGTTGCATAGAATTCCACTTTGCTAGTTAGAATGCACAAGTGATTCTACATTTGAAATGTTCGTTTCCCTGACTGTATCAGCCACCTTTCAAGTGCTTGATGACCCTAGTTATGCTAGTAAACAGCACAGGTACAGAACATGTACATGTTTTTTAAAGGTGCATTCATCAGTGCTGAAATAAAGCCAGCGGTATCTTGTAACATTAGGAATCAAGATAGAAGGGCCGGGGGTATAACTCAGTGGCACAGCACCTGTCTGCCAAGCACAAGGTCCTGAGTTTGATTGCTGGTACCAAAATAAAGAGGAGATAGATCTGGAATAATGGGCAGAGGTAGCTGTAGGTTAGGCAGGGAGTACAATTCTGTTACTTCTAAAAATTAGATTTTAATCTGCATAATCTATGATAACCACACTTGGTCCATTTGTGTCACCGTAACAACGCCTGAGACTGGGTCATTTACAGGAAGCAGCTCTGTTGCTCCCAGTTTCAGCAGCCCAAAGTTGAGCCTCACGCAGTGTCAGGCGGGGCCTCCCCGCTGGGTCCCAGTGTGGCAGGAGAGCAAGGAGCACAGAAGGCTCAAGTCCTCGCCCAGAGTCCTGCTGCACCTAACTGCCGCAGCTTTGAGACAGTCTGGCCCTGCTGGTGGGGGAGCTCCTGGCCTAGTTTTTAAAGTCCCCCGTTTGTAGTGTCACTGTGTGCAACAGCCAAGGAGCCGAGTATCTGGCCACAGAAGGCTGAGGTTCGAGTCTGCACCCAAAGCAGAGCCACAGCATGATTTCATACGGATGAAGGTAAGTTTATTATGAAAGTACAGCAGGTGCGAGCAGAGTCCAGTGATACAGTACCACATGACGAGGTGGGGGACAGCACCAAGGAGTGAGACCCCTCTGGGGAAGGAGCTTGCATGAGACAACCTTTGGCAGGTGAGAGAAAATGCCAACACGTTTTGTTAGTTTCTTAAGTACTCTGTTCAGCAGAAGTGGTTTGGTGGCAATAGGCCTGCTGTGTGTCTTAGAGCAGTGTCTTGGGTCTGGTTAAAACCAAGAACACTCACACCTGGGGCTGTCTGCACTTTTCTTTGCCTGGGGAGCATAGCCAGTTTCTCTGCAGAAGGGCAGCAACCAAGGTCATTTCAGTGAGCATCTGTATTTTGCTCTGACTCATTTATCACGGTTTCCCTGACGCTGGCAATGAAATTACATTTTATTTATTTTTTTGAAATCACATTTTGGGGGGGGGCATTCAAACCATAGCGGTTGGCAGAACATAGGGTGTGTGCAAAACTAGAGGGGACAAAGTAGGCTGGGGCAGAGGATGTCAGTCCAGAGGGGAAGAGGAATGTAGAAACAGGTGAAGGGAAGGTGAACATCAGATGCTCGGTTTAAGTTCCAGCCTATGCACAATGAGGGAATGAGAATGGACTAAAGTACAGATAGCCAGGCGTGGTGGCGCACACCCGCAATCCCAGCACTCGGGAGGCTGAGGCAGGCTGAGGCAGGACCATCGTTGTGAGTGCGAGACCAGCCTGGGCTTCAAAGTGAGCTCAAAGCCAGCCTGAACTGTGCAGCGAGACCCTGTCTCAAAGAGGCAAAAGAAAAAAAAAGTACAGATAAATCTTTTGGTTTTGTAGGGTTGGGGATGGAGCCCAGGGCCTCGTGCACATTAGGCCCGGTGCGCCACCACTCAGCTACATTCCCAGCCCTAAACTCGTAAATTTTAATGTGTGCATCTCTGGCTGTGGCTGCGGCTGTAGACAGAATTGTTTTGGCTAAACTCCAGTTAGGACCTGATGCTTGCAGACTGCAGAATCGTGGACCAGGGGGCTTGGGGCCAGGACTCAGCTGACATTCTCAAGGGTCCATTGTTAAAAAAGCTGCCAGAGGAATTGTGTCACCATGGCTTCCTCCAAACCTGCTTTCCCTTTGGGGTTGAGGTCTTGTTTTCCAGAAGTGATTGTGGGTGACTCAGGTGACTGGTGTTGAGAAATTTAGCCAAGCAGGAACAAAAATGAGGTGCGCCATTTAGATCTGGGGTCTGTTTTTAGCAAGGTGAGGCATGCAGCCTCAGGGCCAGGGTCCCAGAGTGTGACCTCCGTGGTCCAGTTTTCCAAGGGACAGGAGGCTGCCAGTGAGGCTTTCCGGTAAAGGGGAGCTTGAGAACCCTGGGCAGCAGCACGCCTTTGGTGAGGCTGGAGAAGCTGGCTAGTGTGGCTAGTCCTCAGCTATCTAATTGTGACAGCTTCCCAGGGTGGGGGAGGGGAGCATAAAAAGTATCTGACATTTAAAGGAGGTGTAAGAGGGAAAATCTATGTCTAGGTTCCCCTCATTCAGCTTCCTTGAGTAATGGCACTGTGCCATTGCTTAAGTAGGTGATCCAGGGCATTTCATAGTGACGGCAAGCCCTGTTCATGGTATGGTCATGGTTAGACAGACAGCTCCGTGTGCAGGCAAGAAATGTCATCAAGATGATAAATGAAAAGTATAGTATTAAAACAATAATCTTTGGAGCAGTCAACTCCAGTGGTATACCTGCCACTTGACAAAGCCCTCAAAACACAAGTTTCATGATTTTTTTACTCAGCTGCTAAAGATAGTGTGCAGATAGGTGTTTGGAATTGTCTCAACCTTCAAAATCTAAGGAGTAAGAAACTTTGCTTTAAAAAGAAGATGGGAACTTGATGTACTTTTTCTTCTATAGAGGAGCAGTTTTCAAAGCAGATTCCTTGATATATGGCTCTTAAACATACATTCTGTTTCTTTGGTCTTCACTGTTTATGAACTCAGTAAAATTAAAACAGGTAGAAGGATAGGGGGTGAGGGGTAGGTAGGGAGAAAGACAGTTCCAAAATGAAGTTTTCTCTTTGATTTTTGGTATTTCACTTTGTTCTGCTCTTTCCTGAAAACTGAATTGAACTACTGGAGTAGTGTGATATGAAAAATCTTCTACTGCTTTGGTGGAGATATAATATTATTTTGCGTCCATTTTCATCATTATCTAATTATTAAGAAGGCCACTTGAAGCCGGGCATGGTGACACGTACCTGTAATCCCAGCACTTGAGAGGCTGAGGTAGAAGGATTACTGCGAGTTCGAGGCCAGCCTGGGTTACAAAGTGAGTTCAAGACCAGCCTGAACTGCATAGTGAAACCCTGTCTCAAAAAAGACTAAAATAAAATAAAATAGCCGCATAAATCTACCAATCAGGCAGTGCCAGAGTTAAATCAAGGGTGGACACAGCATCTGGGGACATGTGGCCAGCATGTCAGTCCAGTAGAAGCAACTAGCCCACAACTGTAACAAAGACCTTCCCAATCCTCAGACTCTAATAAAATTGGAAAGGAAGGAGTGCACACAAAGTCATTGCTGGAAGCTAGCATTACCTTGATTCTAAAACCAGACAAGGTTCTAACCAACAAAGAGAGCTACAGGCCAATCTGTAATGAAAATAATGCAAAAATCCTCAACAAGATACTGACAAATATGTGGTGGTGGTGGTGGCCCACACCTGTAATCCCAGCACTTTGCAGGCTGAGGGAGGAAGACTTCGGTGTGTTCTAGGCCACCCTGGCCTTCATAGTGAGTTCAAGACCAGTGTGGACTACATAGTGAGACCCCCTCCACACACACACCAATACTGGCAAATAGAACGCAGCAAATCATCAAAAAAGATCATACATCATGACCAATTAGGCTTCATTCCAGAGGGCACGGATGGTTCAACATGCACAAAACAGTAAATATAATACACTACGTAAACGAACAAGGACAAAGAAAATCACATTATCCTCTTGCTTAGATGCAGAAAAGCCTTCAACAAAAATACAACATTATTCATGATTTAAAAAAACCTGAAGAAGGGCAAGGGATATAACTCAGTGGCATAAGCGCCTGCCTGGCAAGTGCAAGGTCCTAAGTTTGATTCCCAGTACCAAAAAAACAAACAAACAAAAAAAAACTTGAAGAAAATAGGTGTAGAAGGATCTTATTTCAATCTGATAAATAACCATTATGACAAACCTGCCCACATCATATTAAATGGGAAAAAAAGGGAAAGCTTTCCCTCTAAAGTCAGGAACAAGACAAGGATGCCCACTATCACCACTCCTCTTCAATACAGTCCTTAAAAACATTAACTGGAGCAACAGGCAAGAGAAAAATAACAGGGATGTGTATAGAAAGGGAGGAAGTCAAAGTATTATTTGCAGACGACATGATCCTCTACAGAGGAGGCCCAAAGAATTTCACCAAAGACTCCTGGAATTATTAACCAAATTCAGCTGTGTAGCAGGACACAAAATCAAAATCACGCACAGGTCAATAGTCTTCCTGTACACTAATAATGAATTCACCAAGAAAGAACTTAAGAAAACAATATCATTCACAATAGCATCAAGAAAAATTACTTAGGGGATCGTTTGTCTTGTAACAGTGGCCTTGTGAGGGCTTCTGGCAGACTGGCCCCACTCTGTTCCACTTTTGGGTAGCTAAGGATTAGTTGTGTGGCCTGAAGAGCTTGCTGGGTGGCCCTGCTCACTTGGGGCAGCGCTGGGCAGCAGAACTAAGTCTGGGTGCCGTGTTCCCCTCCCACTGTTCACAGTCGCCTCCTGTGGCGTCTGGGCCTCCACTACGCCCTTTGGGGTTGTCAGTGAGGATGCCGCAGCTTGA